AGTTTTAGTAGTTCAGTGGCTCTTTCTCCAATTCCACTAAATAAAGAGTTGGTCAGTTTTCCATGAAAACAAGGCATATGATTGATGGCTATGAGTCATCGCAAGTTGTATATGACTCATAGTCGAATGGATCTAGATATCTATCTTTTAGTAACTTTTGAATCATTCTCTCATAGATGTGACCTAGCCTACAATGTCATAGGTATACACTGTTCACCTCATCTCGTTTCCTCTTAGACATACTTATATTCATGATATGTAAAATAGTGTATAGCATAAACAAATCATTATGCAATGTTCCTCTCGTGATAATCTTATCATCTAATAATATTGAACAACCATTGTTCTAAAAAACTAATTTATATCTACTAACTGTCAAACATAAAATATAAATAATGTTTTGGATAATAGAAGAAATAAAATCATATATATCCAACGTAATAATAGCTCCACCAGATAGATGTAGGGCGACCTCGCTAACAACTACTGCAGTAACTTTTGTTCAATTGCCCATCTTGAGGTCAATCTCGCCTCTTGCCAGTCTCCTAGGTCTTGCTAGAACATGCAACAAATTGCAAATATGATAAGCACTACCGATATCCAATACCCATGTGTTATCATAAGAGTCTGACAAATGAAGACTGATCGTGAATGTACTTGAAGCTTATCTAAGCTTCTATTTCGCCCTCCCTGCAATGTATTCTTTGCAGTTCCTCTTCCAATGCCCATCTTTTCCGTAGTGGAAGCACTGACCTTTGTCATTTATCGAGCCTTTCTTAGCAATATTTGCTTTACTTGATCTTCCCTTGCCCTTACTACCCTCGCAGATGGTAGCCCGTTGGCACAGCCATTAGCAGCCCGCGTGCAGAGGCGTCGTGGGGCAGCGGCGCCTGTAACTACTGCACTCACAGGGTGATGCGCCATAGGGTAGCGATGCCTATGGGCGCTGTGCTCGCGGGTAGAACCGCCCTTAGGGGTGGTCGCTCGGCAGGGCAGCACCACCTGCGAGCGTTGCCCCACGGGTAGAATCGTCCGCGGGCAGGGGTGGCACCCCTACTACCCCCTACTGCATAGGCCGCCACCGACAGGGTGGCATCGGCCGCAAGCGAAAGAGAAGGGGGCTTAGGGCAGTCTTGGGCAAAAGATAGTTTTGCCCCTAGGAATTTAAGAAATTCTAGTTTCTATCCTTTGTCTAAATTATAAAAATACCCCTAAAAATTCATAAAATTTCCTATATATCCCTTATTTGAGAAAATATTAATTAATTAAAAAGTTTAATTGATTATTATTTTTATTATTATTTAGTAGTCTTACATGATGATGATTTATACATGTGATATATGATATGTGGACGGATAATCATGGACCATATGATGTGTGTATTTGTGATTATTATTATTGGTGCCTGCTAGCCTCCATTTTATTTCTCATTTATCGGACATGCTACTATCACACCCATACAGTTTTTACTCGAGTTTCGCTCTAATCGGATTCTCCTGAAGAACTCTTTCTCTTTCAATTTGAATGACATTGGCTAGAGATTTGTCTGCGCAAAAATACACTAGATATTCCTCTCATGACACCGAGAGTGGATGATCCTCTATCGACACTTAATGGCCCTCGTAAAGTTGACTACCACTCCCGATGACTACTTGTGCTAGATTTGAGACATTCAAACCTATAAGTCCGATATCAAAGAGTGGGACACTCATACAGGATATCCTTGGTATCTTAAGTTTAAATATCAGATACACCACTGAAATAATGGAATCACTATTTGACAATAAGGCATCATCAACCATTTAGCATTTTGCAAATGGATCAATCAGTGAACTCATTCCCCAATGAGCATCTATATTGTATCCTTAGTGTTCCCACACGAGCAGCTATGAGACCAGTTGCATCCATCATATGGATGGATATATAACACACTAGCCTATCTGGTTATCTTGATGTCCCTCTCGAGTAGCTTGCAGGGCACATATGACTAGCAAATGCTTTAGAGACTAACGCACAATAAGGATAATCTTTTTCTTCTTTTAAGAGATCTATATAAATCAATAAAGATTAGCACAATTGGACCAACCCCACACTATGGTCAGAGTCACTAGTGAGTTGAAATAGTATTCGCATATCAAAGTTTGACGGCTCAACAACAACAATGGAAAGTAGCTGAAAACAAAGGGAGGTGTATTGCAGCTAAAGTAAAAGATTAAAAATTCAATAAAAGCGAGGAGATATAGCATCGCCAAAGGCTTCGATAAAGACATCGAAGGAATAAGTAAGGTAGAATGTCACAGACAAATCTGTATACAAGGGGCTGCCAAGTCTATTGTAAGCCCTCTACATATTATGCAAATTTATACATAAGGTGTTAAATATAATGTTTGGGTATATTCATGTCTTTTAGTTTTGTTCATATTTTGTATAACATGTAGAAGACTTACAATAGACTTAGTTATCCCATTTTGGTTGACTTTTATAATCGTTTTAGTCTTATAAATGCAGGTTATGTACGGTTATCATATAGAGACAAAATTGCCCAAAAATAGGTCATCTAGATAACTATTTTAGCGGGTTTTCTAGCTTCATAGGTGGTACGAAGTGTCAACAATTTGTGGATACTTTGGGGTATTATCTAGGATTAGTTTATTTTATTATTCTGTAATAGTGTTATGTGAGCATTTGTGGAGACTTTTGGTCATGACGGACCACCTTGGGCCCTTTATCACGTGGTCATTTAAATCTTGCAAAGTTTATATTTATACATTATTTATCAAAATATTTGCTTGTGGGAACTCGAGTTGAATGATTCATTTAATTCATATTCTCTTTTGTAGGTCCTTATGAGAGCATAAGAGGTTTCAGAGAGATTAACCCTTTACAAACTAACATGTAAGGATGCTATACAACTTAAACAAAATTAGTTAAGTTCGTGACAACATATAAATAAATATGTCTATGTATTCACACACTGTACGTCCACTTTTTCCTCACATATAATAACATATACATACATATCATTCATTTTCATTATAATTTATATATTTTTATTTTTAGATAATGTACATATTAACTTTGAGTGTAAACCTAGATCTTATGACTCAAAATATACTTTCAAACATATATTAAACTCATTATCATTTTATCATTCAAAATATACTTTTAAACACACCTTAAGTTTATTTTGTTCTTATTTTTCAAGACATTCTTTCAAACATAGGTGAAGTTCATAACTATCTTATCATTTAATGTGCTTTAAAAATATATTTGAGTTCGTATGATATATATATATATATATATATATATATATATATATATATATATAACACTACTATTTTGCAGTAAGTTAAACATATACTTACCTGATTCAACGTACAATGAAGTTTCCATCGAAGGGCCCTGTTCCTCAATGCTTGGGTGTGTTAGAGAGCTTCTATTATTTTTAGAGTTCGGGTTTTTTTGGTCTCCATGAAGATATGATGAAATGAATGAACGAGGGAGAGAAAGAAGTCATAAATTATCATATGGGTAAGGAGGCTAAGGCTAAAATAGAGTAGAGATAATTAAGATGTTGCTTGAGATCTAAGATTTAATCCCATTATATCTTATTTCAATTTTTTTTCTTTTACTAATATATTTTTAATGTCACAACAGAGTCTAATTTGATTTGATAAAGATGACATTTTTAGTTTAAGTCCATCCTTTACTCTCACTTATATATAATATTTTTAGTATAACATTTTTTTTTCGTTTTTTCTCTTTACTTGATTATCTATTACTTCATCCATACCTAAGTAATTTATTATCCTTCATATACATATTGTTTAAACCTCAAATTTATTTTAAACATGATTAAACTAATTCAACCTAAGTATATATATTATAAAATATATCTTTAGATGATGATAACACATGCATATTATTTATGTTTCCATATATGCTAGATTTATTGATATATGTGAGAACCTGGGCACTTAAATTAAATTAGGAATATAGTGGGTTGGACTCTTCATAGCCACTTAAATTAATCCACAATTCAATCAGTTAATGAAAATTTATAATTATAGCTTAGTTAATATGTATTAAAAAATTAATTTAATTTACAATATATTGTAATTAGTTTGGTTCTTTTATAAATAGATCGGATGATTTTCTTAGAAAATATTTATATTTTAGATATTTTTTAAAAGGTGTCACATCTTTGTTTTAAATAATATCTCTAATTTAAAGAATTCTCAAAATATCCCCAACTGTTTTTTGTCAAATTTTTTATTTCTTTATTTTTAATCTTCATGTTTTTTAATAGTATTTGCTGTGTTTTATTGATGTACTACAAATATTTAAATATTATTTAAAAATATTATAAATGATGTCATATGACATCTTGTGATTGCTGATAGATTATTATAATATCATATATTTAAACTTATATTTAGTTTGATTAAAGTGAGAAGTTTATTTATATTACTTGGAGGGCGATGTCGATCGGTGCCCAATCATTCTCTTTATGTCGAGGACCCGATCGATCAGCGTCATATCATAATGCTAGCTCTGTACTCAAATAGGCTTTATAATATTTTTGCTATAGTAGTCAAAATATTGTAAAAAGCCAAAAAAATATTATAACACATATCAAAACATTATAACAGTCAAAAAAAAAATTTTCAAGAGACAATTTAGGCATTTTCATAAATTAAAAATAATATTTAAAAAATAAAATAAAATAAGGATGACGGTTTGATAAGGTATTCAAAATATAAATAGTTTATAGGGAAATCACCTAAAAAGATTAAATGGCTAAACGTGTTCGGGTTCGGATCGTGTAAGCGCGTCATGATATAAATTGACTCTCTGATCCACCCGCGTTTTGATTGGTGGTATAGAGAACTTTTGCGGGTCCCATGTGAGAATAGCAAGGCAGGCAGCCGAAGTGGCAAGCGGATCGCAGAATAGGAACCCGAAGAATCCAAAATTTATTATTTGGGCTGCTGCCGCTGCCGATGCTGCTGCTTCGCAATCTCTCTGACCGACGCTGCGTCTCGGATTCCATCCGCCGGGCCGGCAGCCGGCGCGTGATGATGGAGCCGTGGTTGCTGGTTTGGGAGGCTTTCACGGAGCAGCTGGAGGAGCGGCAGAGCGACTGGGCCTACTCGAGGACCGTCGTGTTCCTCGACACCCTGTTGAACTTGGCGTTCGTGGCGGCGGCGGCCGGGGTCCTCGTCCTGAGCCGGGACGAGGCTCCGTCGATGCCGCTGAGGCTGTGGATTGGAGGGTATGCCCTTCAGTGCGTGCTCTTCATTGTGTGCGTCTGCGTTCGGTTCCAGCGGAGGCATCTGCAGAGGGGCGTGGAGGAGCGGAGCAGCCACGATCGGGGGGGTTTGGGCCCTAGTTCTCCAAGCGATGTGGTGGAAGCCAGGGGTTGCAATGCTGATCAGGGTCAGAACGAGGAGGCGAGGAGGTAAGATAAGCTGAATCATGCCCTTCCGCAGTAGTTTCAGTTCTATCTTATATTAGGTTTCTGTTGAATTTGAAGAATTTGTTCCATTATGACAACAAGATAACCAGTGGTCCATGAATGGAGCTTATAAGTTGGTTGCCACAGAAACAAATGCAAACCATGAGCAATATTATTGTAGAAAAACTAGTTCTAGGTTCTGTTTTGACAATCTTGTATGGTGATGCTTGTGTTGATTAAGATTGTTTAGGACTAATGCTCTGGGAAAAAAATGGTGACTAGCCGTAATTATGCATTGTGGGGTTGTGTTGCTTTATCATGACATATACTGGTTGGAAATTGGAACTATGATTTGTAATCTATGGTCTTTTCTGTAGAAATCCTCGACTATATCCTGTTCGGGCTGGAGGGTGCTTCTCTTTAGATGTACTTTGCTAATTTTGATATTGTGTTCTTGGGAGTTATCATATGTTCTTGTTGACTAATTTTGTAGTGTTGCCAAGGATCTGGAGTTTGCAAGCAATATGTTCTCATGCATATGGTGGTTCGTTGGTTTTTACTGTGTATCCGCTGGAGGCCAAGCCTTGATACGTGATGCACCACAGCTATACTGGTACTGTCGTAAATAAATATCTGAATAATTGGATTATAATGCATGTTTGTCTTATCTTTACTTTTTTTTTTCCTGCTTGATCTGTCTTTTCAGGCTTTGCATAGTTTTCCTAGCATTTGATTGCATTGGCATTAGCATTGCTGTTTGCTGTTGCGTATGTATCATCAACATTGTTTATGTTGTCACAGATCAGGTATTTCACACTAATGACAGCCTTTTTATCTATGACAACTTGCTTTTATGACAAATTAAACACCGATATAGGTTTTTTTCTATAGCTAAAGTTTTGTTATGCTTGATCGGGACATCCATAATTTATTCAATATCCAATGATAAATTGTATAAGTTAATACATAAGGTCACTATGTTTTTATCAGCAATACCAATAGAAAACGATTGAGGATTTTTTTTGGTTTTATTGCCATATAATTTCAGTTTTAGTCTTATGTTTCTATAAATCTCAAATTATGTTTTGTGGATATAAGCCAGATCTGTACTTGTATGGTAACTATTTTGCCCGAAGTTGGTCTGCTATCCATTCCTTCAAGGAGCTTTCTTTGGTCCAAAGCCTCGTAGTTTTGCAAGGATCAAAATTGAGGCATGGTTCAGTTTGGTATTATGTGTACCTAGAAAGATGTTTGGCCTAAATGCTTAAATTTGATTAATTATGGGCCTATGATCCATTAAAATAAATACTGCAAAAGAGAGAATTTTCTTCTAATGGTTATCATACTAAGTGTTCATACTTTTGCTATTGAATGCACATGTATAGCTTTTATGGCGAGGTCAAAGTATGATATTTGCTCCTTTTTCCCCTGTAAACTCAAATTCATTGGACATTTTGACAAAATACTGCATTTGAACTTCTAAGATTTAGAATATTTTCCTTATTTTGCAGGACATTCTATTTTTTTCAATATTTGAAACAAAAGAATCTCTTGTTATTCAGAATGGGTGCCTTATTTTTATTTTCTGAAAAGCTTGCACGCCCCATTGATGTGTAGACTGCCATATATCCGGAGCATTTTAAGTGCTCACCAACTCACATCTTGTAAATTACCTGATTATGAAAAGCTTAGGGCCTATTTGCAGATTAATAAAAATACATCATTGTGCTGGTGCGACCAGAGTAAGATATTTTAAAACATACATTAATTTTATGTTAATAATTTAGTCAATGATTCTTGTGTTTGTTGCTAAGTGTTGAAAGAGATGACAAATAGTTATTTGCCTTTTTCTCTTTTAAAGCAAGGAGGTGCATCTGATGAAGATATCCGCCAGCTTCCCACGTACAAATTCCGAAGGATTGACAATTTTGAGATACTTTTCAATGAAGTACAAAGATCAAAAGGTGGGATGATGATCGAGTGTGGCAGTGATGAACCAATTGAGCATGTTCTATCAGCGGAGGATGCTGTAAGCTCTCTCCTTTGACTGCTTATTGCTGTTTGTGTATTATGACTATGAGCATTTGCTTCCCTTGGCCCTATTACTCCTTTTAGTTTACCTCTGCTCATTTTCTCTTTTAGTTTATTTTTTTCTCATTTCTTATCTTCCACACTAACCATTTCTTGATAAGAGGTATCGGCTGAAAAAGTTCCGATGTGTTCTGAGATGAAACAAAGCCAAAACTCGTCTCAGGTTGATTGTAGCCTAATCCGATTGGAACTGTTATAAATACTTTGAGAGAGGTTAATATAACTGCTAATGTTCCTGTACCTTGCCAAAATATTTTTTCTTTTATCTAAGTTGTTTTTCCTTTAAAACCCAAATAAATTTAAAAATATTGTTCGAATTCTTTTTCGCTTTTGTAGACTTGCAATCTGACTAGAAGAAAGACAAGAAAGTTCCTTTAACTTATATGAAGGCTTTGGCTCCAAGATCCTAGATGGACTGAGTAGCTTGGATTGTATGGCGGCACCCTTTAGATTGCCTTGGGAGGTTGCCAGTCTGCCATGGGCTAAAGGCCAAATGGATATCTCATTCTTTAATATTCCAATTTATTATTTAAATGGACTAAGTGAATGCAAGACACATCAACGTTTACCTGCTACCTTCGTTTGAAGGTTAACATTAAGATCTATGTACAATTCTTGATTGAAAATCTCGTCTTCCATCATTCTACAAATATGAAAGCTTATCAATTAAATATGTTATCAAAATGAATAAATTAAAATCCAAATCTCGAATGTTATCTTCCTCAAAGAAGGTCAGAGCAGATAGTTCTTTGACTTGATAAACTGTGATCTTGTGATCTTTCTTTATATTTGTGTTTTCCTTTGCTTTCTTATACTTGGGACCTCAGTGCAAGTATCTTTTCTGTTTCTTAAATGGCTGCGGTTCCATAAAAGAACACTAGTAATTTAAATTTCCATCTAGTTATGCCGTTAGTTCGCCGTCTTTGTGTATGTAGGTGTGCTGCATGTGCCTCTCTGCTTACAAGGATGGGGTAGAGTTGCGGGTGCCCCCTTGCCGCCACCATTTCCACTGTGCTTGCATAGATAAATGGCTCTACATCAATGCCACTTGCCCCTTATGCAAGTACAACATTGTATAGAGCAGCAACCAAGCACCAGAGGAGGTCTAGAACAAGGTGATTGCGCTCCCATTCCTAGTCTCTATGTTTGGAAGGCAAATTCCACTGTTCCGATTTTTATGATCTAGTAGAAGTGTGAAAATTGTTGATGTTATTATACGTTGTCCTGAGAAGCAGAATCCATGAAAGATAAGAAACCTAATTGTACTTTGAGCAAATGTAACATGTTGCATCCTAGCCTGAATCAGATCATGTCTGGTTGGACTATGAATGTGTGTTCTATAATGAAATATATATTTTGTAAAGCTTTACAGGCATGTAAAACCACATTATAAAAATAATGGCAGATTATTCAGAGTTATAATGCAATTTTTTTTTCTCTTTCATGATTGCTTTATCATACCGATAGGTTGATGCTTGCATGGTTGTTACAAAGTTGAAACTTTATATTAGAATCTTAGCTGCACAGGAGATAGCTCACTCTCTTGTTGATCGTTCCAAGGTCTTTCTACGATTGAAAAGCCATTACCGCAGTGAAGACTTCTTGATTCTCCTACGTTTTGCGTGTGATTAGAGAAATGCTGAGTGTTCCTCACTTCCCACAAAGGAAGGAATATAAAGACAATAATAAGTTGTAATATCTCGATTATTTAGAGTTAAACATTATTGAGTTAGATTTAGGTTGACTTGTATAGATCTATTAATCGGGCCAATATGAGTCTAAATCATCTCTATTTGTCGGTTAGGGTGAAATTGCATTCTATGATCGATTGTCTTGGGATATGCTCGACTTCTATGGACACATAATTGAGCTCATTTCATTGTTTATGTATAACATGTATTGGATATATAAAAACAAATAATCATTTGTCCATCTCATGAACATCAAAATTAGATTTTTTTTAATATTTTTACTGGTCATATATATATATATATATATAACTGTAGTATGATAATGATGTATTGATTTATTTGTACATAATTTCTTCTCTAAGCTCAATCTACTGTGTAAAACAATAAACTCACATAGATGAAACAGAAAAGTTTGTCTATGCAACTTGATGCAGCCACAGTAAGAAATTTCTGGAGAGTCCATGTCTCAGCATGTTATTCAACTTATGAGTACACTCAAAGAGGAAGAAAAATTTATATTTATACCCAATGAACACTTTGTTGATATGGAAAATTCATAAAGAGAATACAGAACACTAGTACTGTACACTAACACAAACTATGACTGTGGCCTTGGACTAATGTTAGGTATTACCTACTGGCCTAGTTATCAATGAAAAAGATAACAATCAAGTTATATATGGGGTGGTGATGCAGCACAAGTCATCCATTGATCCCAAATATGCGGACCTTGTGCATGTTTGGGAACTTGGCAATTACCAGTATGGCTACCGCAAGTGTATTCAGGAACAGCATTGGATGTCGGTAGTCCGTTGTGTGCGAGGCTATCAGATACCTGACCAGATACAGAAAGCAAAAGATATCAAATTGAGGAAATAATAGAACAGATAACAATGCAAAGAAATTGTCTTCCAATGCACAAAGTATATGGATGCTTTCTCGAGACAATAACAAATAACACATTAATGGGTATGTTGAATAGCCCCAGTATATCAGGATGAAGTATTATGAGAATATAAGAAAAGGATACACATGCATTAATCATACCGTAAACCTATAAAATAAAATGCATATACTAGATACCCAAGTAAAATCACTAAACATTGATAGAATTAACTTGTTAAATACACATGTTTTTGACAAAGCATGCGAAATAATTGCTACAAGTCCGACATGCTCGGTCACATATTTCTCAGAATTGTAACACGTAAAGATGATATAATGACAAAATGATATTTCAGCATGTCAGAAATATAACTCGAAAGAGCAGCTGGCATTAGCATAAAGAATCAGCAACAATATCCTGTTAATTGTCGATATCAGTCCCTAGTTGTCTATACCATGTATAAAATATTCACTCCAAATATTGACGACATGGGACCAGTTCTCTTAATGTTCAACCACCAATATCTTCTTTTACAAGCTATGTTCAAGGTTGTAATGCTTAATGTTTCAGCAGGTAATTCTCGCTACATAAGATATGCAAGCCTCAGACACAATACAGTTAATAAGTGAGGCTCATCCAGACCATTGGCACCTGAACCGCACCATGTCCTAGTAGCATCAACCCTATGGTTATGTGAAGAACGAATTATCCAAAGGATTTGAATGTGCAATATACCATGAAACTGATGTTAGCAATATGACAATGGACACGTTTGTCAAAGCATGATCCCACGGTACTCACTAATCGCATCACTATCGTATCCGCATCACCCAAGTTTTCATATCTTGATTCTGTGCTGTGTTGGTCTAAGAGTTTACAAGGTGAGGTATCTCAATTATCAGGCCTTAAAAAAGATCTTCCAGTTGCTCAAGATATGCAGAAATAGTAAAGAAAAGGTGCCAAGAACATGGAATGTCCCGAATGGAGACACATGATGGATATAGGATCATGATACACATTGATTTGCTTACTAAGGTCACTTGTTATATTAAATAACATGCTTTGACTTTTTAACCAAGTAGATACACAGCTAGTTGGGTCACTAACAAGAATGGTAAAAGATCTGAAGCTATGAACTCAACAACAATTTTTTTATTAATTAGTGCTTGTCATATTAAAGGATTCTAGAGTCAGAATTCCTGTGGATTTCATTTGTCCTTGTTACATTTCTGAAACTAAATGACATTAATAAATATCATCAAGTACATATTATATACATGTACTGAATTTTATTTTGTTATATGCTAATAGAACACATGATATGCCATAAGTATATCGAGTTGCAAGGTAAAGGTTTCCTGCTGATAAGGATGCCATAACAATATCTGGTTTGACTTACTGAACTACAACAAGAAGAATGACTAGTCATCCTAGTTTTAGTCTTTGGAATATCAAACTGCCTATCCACAAAATAGCTATTCATAAACATAACTTTCATGATTTTTAATAAAGACTCATAGTGTATCAAAATTATACACAAGAGAGAGATTTAAAAGAAGATACTCACAGGACAACAGGTACAACAATCAAGAATTTCCTGTTACGGGTTAGTTGCCTGCCATCATCCATCTGCTCCCACCAGGTCAAGTTGTTATAGATACCTTGGTCTTCAGCAAAGGGAGTGCCCTTTTTCCAATGGAAGAAGTAATAGGTAACCTGAAAGGCAGTTAACTAGAAATCATTATGTGGACAATCAAAATTCCAGGCAAGTGAGCGTGGGCAAACAAAGTAAACATGGCAAATTTCTAAGTGAAGGAAACCAAGAAACTCAGCAAAACCTGTCAATTCAAACACAGTCATACTGCTAATGTATCGGTCAATCCTGATGTTAGAAAATACTGAAAAGAGAATCGGTATTGCTGCGACTTATCAGGTATATTCACTAACCACCAAAACGATATGCAAGAAACATCAAACTTCGAGCTTCAAAAGGCTAATCTGCTTTAACTAAACCCGTGGGTACAAACTCTTTTGGAAGAATCATTCAGTATGTTCAGTACACAGCATAAAATGAAATTCAACAAAAGCAATTCAACCAAATGATGCAATCATGATTCAGACAACCACAATCAGCTTCAGGTTTCCACATTGAAGCACAACTGGCTGTAAAAGCATTTAAGCAGCTGAATCATATTTTGGCATGACAAAAAGTAAACTATATAGTCAACCACTTTAATAATTTGGACGAAAAGTTTTTTGACTTGGTGCCAATTATCCCTTATATCATCCAGTTACAAGTCAAAGATAAAGAGACGTGCCAAAGATTATAACTTTTGACCATAATATTTGGAATGCTCATCCATAGAACTTTCTATCGCACTGATCAACGTATGAAGCCTGTTTCAACCCTACGATACCAATTAGGAACGACATAATACTTTCTAGACGGAAAGTAGAACACTTAAAGGTGAATCTTTTAGATGAACTCAAACCCAAACCCAGTAAAAAAAGAGAGCGAAAAATCGTAGTCTCCCTATTCCTTCTGACCAAATCCAGATTCAGCACCGAATCCGAACTGCACAAGCCACAACGTTAACCCCAAAACCCTACTATCATCATAATTCAAGCCGAAATCTTCGACAGTCGCTAAAAGTGGGGAAAGATCAAAACTTTAGGGTCAAGAAGTGAAGCCAAGGCCGCCTACCGCAAAGTGCAAGAGATTGACAGCGGTCCATGCCATGCCGGGGGTGCAGCCGACGACGGAGAGCACGAGGAGCCAGCAGAAGAAGAGGATGAGTATGTAGGTGGTCCAGACGCCGGGGTACATGAACCATTCGGTGTTTTTGTTCAGATCCGGGGGCGGCACCGTCTTCACGTAGAGCTTCACCATCGCGTCGCCTTCTCCTTTCGCTCTCTGTATTCCGATATCAAGCTTGGGGAGGCCGGGGAGGGGTATTCATGCAAGATCGAAGGAAGACCAAAGGGGGGAATTGGGAGGGGAACTACCGGTAATGGCATTGGAACGAGTATTAATATCAATTTCTTTGCTATTATATATTATTATTGTATGAGTCACTAATTTAGATTATTCCAAAACTATTAATTTTCAAATAATATATTTTTTTATAAATATTATAATTATATTGAATATAATTATACATTATTACATTTAATATATATATTTTTAATTTTCTTAAAAATATCACTTTTATTTTGTTTTTGGTTAACATAACCCAACAAATATGTTATGTAGATGGCTAATAAAACATAAGCCAAAAAATAAAATAAGTTCCTTTTTAATGTTATTATTGACAACATTGTTTGCCCTTTATTTATTTACTTAATATCAAGTTAACCTAAATAATGATTCTTTCTAAACTTAGCTGGTAAATAATTTAATTGATTCATAATCTATTTTTTCTTTTTCTTTTTTGCCAAAACAACTAATAATTTATTTTTTTCTAAATCTTATTAATGATAGAAACACTACCCCCTATGGTTAACAAATCACTAACCCAAATCTTATTAGAATCTATTATTATGTAATCTCTCAAGTTAGTTTCTTAATTGTAAATAGATAGCCCTGCTCTCAAGTTCTTGATCTGATTTCAAGCCAAGCTTAAGTTGGATTACATGCTCACAAGATGTTTATTGGAAGTAAATACTAATGCTGTAGAATTGTCAACAGATACTTGGTAAAATAGATCAGACTCAGTGGTTGGAACAGCTGAAAGCCTGTGGAGTGCCAGCAAAGAACAGAGACAAATTCCCAATCCAGTGAGCTTGGATGCTGGCAGAGCTGCCAAGTTCTTGGGAGGGAAGAAATCCAAGCAAGAGAGTGAACCTGATGAAACTGTTGCAGTGGGGAGGGAGGGAGCTGCAACCCTGGGTGGTGGCAGTCTTCCTGTGGATGTCACTCCATTGTCACTTTCTTCTGGGAGATGCAAGTTTCTTTGTCTCTTTTTCTTCTGGGAGATGTCACTAGCTATTCTAGCAAAGAAGAGTAAAGAAATTTGTTTCTTTGTCTCTCTTTTTCTTCTGGGAGATGCAAGTTTCAACTGTTCTCATATGCTTATGTATCTGCACAAGGAGATTTGATGTCCTGAAATAATTTGTTTGCTAGCTGAAAGATTTTGATAGAAAATTGCACACTGCTATAAAAGGCATCTCTCTCTGTAATTAGAGTGGAATGCAGGATTTAGGAATCATCAGATGCAAATTTGAAATGAGAGAAACATTAAGAAAAAAAATTACCACCAACTTAGTAAAGATTCTGGTGGCATAGTGCACAATAGATTCTTATCTAGATACAGTCAGAGAACAGAATTGATCCAAATTAATTGATCTTACAGAAAACCTTACTGAGATTGTAAATTGTTTGTACAAAATTGAAATGAAAATGAAGTATATGATTCATACAGCATCTACAAAGTTGGAGCAAGTGTTGATGTGATTTTAAGATTGTTCTTCACGATCTGAGTGATTAGGATTTGATTCATGAAAATAACATCTTTGTTACGAGCGTATAGGAATTACCTCAATTTGCTAAGTAGAGCAAAACAGTCAAGAGCATCAGATTAAGAACACAAGCACACTAAGTTTGGGGACACTATGACAAGGAAGAATTACCTTGATATCTCATGTAGCATATGGTTTCTGGATCATATCATTAACCATGTTATCCCTTAGATGAAGTGGTATCTCCAGATTTTGGCATCATCATCATCATCATCATCTTCTTCTTCTTCTTCTTCTTCTTCTTCTTCTTCTGTTCCATATGCAACATGAACTTGCTTACTTGATTTCTTAGTAGTAGATTTGTTCTTGTTGCCATGTTCAGGTTTTCTCCACTGTCCCTGACAACCATGACCCCCAGGTCAACATGAACAAGTTCTTTGGTGAAGTTGAGCTGGTAGGCAGACTGAGGTCAGCATTTGATCTTGATGCCAACTCTGCTAAAGACAATGCAACAGTGAAGGAACACCACATCACCATTGGCTCATCTAATGGTCATTTTGTGAGGATGAGGTTGAGAGAATGATGGAGGCTGAGCTGCATGCCTAAGAGGACAAGGAAAACAAAGTTCTGATTGATACTAAGAACACTGTTGACACAACAATCTACAGTATCAGAACTCCAGATGTTGTCTGTAGTGGCTGGCATTCACAAATGGATGGCAGGAGTGATCATCATTGACCAAATCAAGCCCAAAGATTGATGTGCAACTAAGGCAGTCTCAAAGGAAACACAAGAAACCATATGAGCTTAGACCATATTGTTCAGTAAATGTAGCACATATTGTTCTTGTGATGTCACACCAGCATCAAAATCCTCCTACTCCACTCATTTAATTGTCATGTTTGATCAGCTTAGACCATAAACTCCACCTAATCTTTGAACATTCCCAAGTCTTGGGTGTCCACCATGAGTTGCCTAAATCAAAGAAATCTGAAACCAGGGAATCTTCAACAGAGCACAGAAAGCTATACATGGTGACCAAGGTTTTCTGAAAATGTTATTATCATATTTATGTTAAACAACTATAGGTGATGTTAACTGCATAATATATTATTAATTTTGGTTTCAACTGGCTGCCACCAGTGCCTCTCCATGATATATTCCTGTCCCAAAAGCAGCAATCCATTTCACCCTCTGCAAGTTGCATATATGGTTAAGCAGATTTGCTCAACATCAGCATCCTACGAATCATTTTATTTAGGATGCTTAGTGCGAGGTTTTCCATAGGAGATGTGATGATATGTGTCTTCAAGTCACATCACATGAAAGGCTTTCTACTCATCCACCCAACAACAAATCTTTCATAGCATCTTGCCAGGATTTGCTATCTATAATTTAACCATCACAGCCCCTTTAGAGTTGGATATGATTCTGCTCGAGCTGAACAAAAAAATGTCTTCATATCCTTGTTAAATTATGATCATCTTCCTTGGGTCCACTCTCTCTTTCTGTCTCTCCACATTAACCACTAAGAGCTCCTGTCACCAGAGCAGCAAGCTTCCAACTCTGAATTGTTGTCTCTGTGGCATTCTTTTGTGGTCCATTGGTCCTAAAGCTTTTTATTTCTTCCTTGATGACTTTTCTTCTCTTGTCTAAGTAGAACAAGCCATCATCTGGTTCAATCGAGGGGTCAGGAGGGATACATCAGCACACAAAATTCCATGGCATGGAACATAGAGACATCATCTGCCTTGTTGGTCCAAGCTTACAAGTTTAATCCACCTACAAGCAACATTAGCATCATAAAGCACATACTATAATCCCATTTGCCTTGTGCTGCACAATGCACATAGTTTATGTTGGTCTATACAGCTAAGCTATGGGCAGTCCACAGCCTATATTTGACAATGGAAGACTTCATCATGCCATTTAATCTACAGCTTGATTGTCCACCATTCATAAGATCAAATGATGCCATTGTTATCTGGTAAGCTTACGTTCAAAGTCCTTCATGCTTACTTAAGAGTGCTTAATTGGGAAGATAAATGAAGCATCCAGGAAACCAGTTTAAGTTAAATAAATCTGTAACAGAGCTTGTGCTTAAGAAAGAGCCATGATCATAGCTGGTTTCTCCCTTATCCTAAGTGAGGGATGAGCTCATTCAAAGCTTGACCTGATTCATAGTTTGTAGTGACGGGTAGGAAGTCCTTATCAATCTGTTAAAGCTACGAAGATGATCGATCCTCGAATCGCTATCGTTCTATCGCTGATGAGGAACTCAGCTCAGCCAGGAGGGATATCAACTACCAGTAATCAGAGCTCACGTGAGCTTGCAATCGAACGCTGTTTGCTCCTGAGTTTGAGGAGGTGTCGAAGACCAAAGCAAACTAGGCAGCAGAGTCAATGCAGCACACATCTGCCTCAAAAAGCTTGCTTGCCATGTTCATGCTCCAAGAAAGTCTTCAAGCAATGCAGTGACTGCAACATAGAATGCATTGTCATGTTGACAGTTTCAAACGCTGCGACTTGCACCCTCATCTACTCTACTCAATTAAGGAAATGATTCCTTTGTGAGAATGATACGATATGTTTGATCATTCATAGATTTGGGTATCTCCACCAGACATCCGGACAAGGGTCAGGCTACTAAGATCGACAGTCCTTTGATGCCTTTTGGATAATGACTTGCTGTTAGATTGCCTTGGAAGATATGATTTGCTTGGCTAAAATCTGTGAGGTTAGATTCATTGCTCACCCACTACATATAATAGAGAGATGCCTCAAGCATTACCAGTGGAATCTGTTCTTCTTCTTCTTCTTTTTAATGGGTTATACATTTAGCTGTTCACAGTTACTTATTATCAATAATACCAGCAATTATTGCACCTAATTTAGACTCTCTTGCTTCCTTGACTGTTGACTTTAAACTGGTCAGGTCTTTGTGACTGCAGAATGGCATGGTTTCCTACTCTCTAAATTATTGTTCTAATAATTTATGTTTGCATTTAGTCCTTGAGTTCATTCTCTTTAGCATAAGATTACAGATCCTGGACAGCGGATTATTAGATTAAGAATAGCCTAATGTGGAATTAATCCATGGATTAATACTTTTCAAAGCTTCCCATCACGTTGGCATGCATGTTTTTAAAGACATGAGCAACAACACCATGTCTTCATCCTCTGCGACATGCCCCAAGTGTGGAGCCAATCAGCCCTCCCTCAAGCGACGGAACTCCATGGCTTTCTCGTTAGGACGTAAGCCTGTGACTTGGTGCTTAGAACACAAGGGCACGCCATGCCATGTCTTTGTTTCTGACAGGATCCCGAGGTACGGAGCCCATCACGCATTGTGCTGCCCTCGTTCGTGTACCGCGCCATGGTCAAATCCACGTTTTTGGACTAGAAAACTAGGGTACACATACCTACGCCAGCCATGATGTAGTTGTCCCTCGTCCGTTTCTCTCCCGGGCTGCCCTACTCCCTTCTTGCCTTTCATGGCGTCGGTCTCTGCGCTTAGTTTACTTTGATTGCTTTGTTAATGATGGTTTGGTTTCCTTTGCTGGCTTTCCTCGGTCTCTCTCTCTCTCTCTCTCTATAAATACGTGAAGCCTGAGATCTTCTTCTTCTCGTAACACTGACACCACTCTCGTGGGAGCTGCTGCTTCTCTCGGTACTAGGGAACTCTTGTTCATGGAATCCAAGGCAGACAACGGGTGGTTCGTGTTGCTTTCCGTAGCCGCCAAATGCGGTGAGCTCTCGACCGACCCCGCCCATCTTCTCTCTCTCGCTGTCGTCGTTGCGGTCTGCTGGCTCGCCACTCTCCTGCTGCACTGGGCCTCCCCCGGTGGCCCCGCGTGGGGGAGGTACTGGTGGAGCAGGCGGCGGCTGTGGGGCTTCGGCCATGTCATCCCGGGTCCCCGGGGATTCCCCGTCGTCGGGAGCATGGACCTGATGTCTGGCCTCGCCCACCGGAAGCTCGCGGCCGCCGCTGACGTCGTCCCTGGCTCCAGGAGGCTTATGGCGCTCAGCCTCTGCGACACCCGAGCGGTCGTCACCTGCGACCCGGACGTAGCCAGGGACATCCTCAACAGCCCCGACTTCGCCGACCGGCCGGCCAACGAGACGGCCTACGGGCTTCTGTTTGACCGCTCCATCGGTTTCGCCCCCTACGGCGCCTACTGGCGCGCCCTGCGGAGGATCGCAGTCACGCACCTCTTCTCCGCCAAGCAGATATCCGCGTTCGCCAGCCACCGAGCTGAGATCGCCGCTCAGATGGTTCGTGCCCTCGACCACCTCGTCTCTCGGCCTGTCCAAGTACGGAACATCGTGAAACAGGCATCCCTCAACCACGTCATGTGGTTCGCCTTCGGGAAGCAGTACGCGATCGAGCAGGATACCGAGGAGATGAGGGAGCTGAGAAGCATGGTAGAAGAAGGCTACGAGCTCCTGGGCAAGCTCAACTGGTCGGACCACCTGCCAATGCTCGCCGGCCTGGACCTGCAGCGAATCCGGCATCGCTGCTCCGCCCTCGTCCGCCGGGTCGACCGGTTCGTCACCGGCATCATCGAGGAGCACCGAGCACGGCGGGCGCGCGACCCGGAGGCGGCTCCGCGGGACTTTGTCGACGTTCTGCTGTCCCTGCAGGGCCCCGATAGGTTATCCGATCCCGACATAATCGCCGTCCTTTGGGTAATTCTTAGCTCTTATAATTAGAATTATTACGGAGGAATTATTGTGAAGAGTGATTTGGTGGAGTTAATGATGTGGAAAATTGTGTAGGAGATGATATTTCGGGGTACGGACACCGTCGCGGTGCTGGTGGAGTGGGTGCTCGCGAGGCTAGTGATGCACAAGGACGTGCAGGCGAGGGTGCACGAGGAGCTGGACGTCGTCGTGGGCAGAGACCGGGCGGTGACGGGAACCGACGAGTCGGGGCCACTGCTGTACCTGCAGGGGGTTATCAAGGAGACGCTGCGGATGCACCCGCCGGGCCCGCTGATGTCGTGGGCCCGCATGGCCACATCGGACGCGATCGTCGGCGGGGCCCTCGTGCCCGCGGGCACCACCGCGATGGTGAACATGTGGGCCATCTCCCACGACCCCGCGGTCTGGCCGGAGCCGCTGCGGTTCGATCCGGGCCGGTTCCTGGGGCCGGACGGGCACGCGGTCGAGCTGCCGGTGATGGGGTCGGACCTGCGGCTGGCGCCGTTCGGGGCCGGGCGGCGGAGTTGCCCTGGGAAGGGACTGGCCATGGCGGCCGTCGAGCTCTGGGTGGCGGCGCTGGCGCACGAGTTCGAGTGGCTGCCGGCGTCCGACGACGTGGCGGCTGGTGGAGTCGACCTCTCGGAGGTGCTGCGGCTGTCCTGCGAGATGGCGGCGCCATT